CTTTCTTCAAGGTGATTTTGATGGGCCCAATGTGGTAGCTTAGCAGCTAAAGTCTTTACCTTGCACACACTGGGATCTCATATGGGCACTAACTCAAGTCCTGGCTACTCTAATTCCCTTCTAGCTCCCTGCTTGTGGCCTGGGAAAGCAGTAGAGGATGGCCCAAACCCTTGGGACCCTGCACTGCATGGGAGACCCGGAAAAAGCTCGTGGTTCCTGGCTCTGGATCGGCTCAGCTCCGACCATGGCGGTCGCTTGTGGAATGATTCAGCAACAGAAGATCTTCTTCTCTATTTCTCCTCCTTTCTGTATATCTGACTTTCCAATAACAATAGTCTTTAAAAAAGAAAGGAAGAAAAGAAAGACAGAGTTACAACAGAGACAGAAGAAATCAATCTTCCATCTACCGGATTACTTCTCTAACGGCCACAATGGCTAGGACTGGTCTGAACCAAAGCCAGGACCCAGGAGCCTCCTCTAGGTCTCCCACATGGGTGTAGGGACATGAGCACTTGGACAATTCTCTACTGCCTTCCCAGACCATTAGCAGGAAGCTGGATTGGAAGTGGAGCAGCAGGAATTCAAACTGGTGGGCATATGGGATGCCAGCCCTGCAGGTCAGGGCTTAACCTATTTACCAATGGCACCAATCACAGAAACAATTTTTTATTGTTACTATTGGAAAGTCAGATTTACAGAAGAGACAGAGAAAAAGGTCTTTCATATGCTGGTTCACTCCTCAAGTGGCTGCAATGGCCAGAGCTGAGCCAATCTGAAGCCAGGAGCTTTTCCCAGATTTCTAACTTGGGTGCAGGATCCCAAGGCTTTGGGCTGTCCTCCACTGCCCTCCTAGGCCACAAATAGGGAGCTGGATGGCAAGTGGAACAGCCGAGACTTGAACTAGTGCCCACGTGGAATCCCAGTGCATGCAAGGCGAGGACTTCAGCTACTAGGCTACCATATCAGGCCCCAGAAACTACTTTTTATATAGTATCTGTACCCTGCAACTCTGACAACTTCAGTTATTCTTATGGAGTTTTTTTTTTTTTTTAATGTGTGGATAATTTAGGATTTTCACTTGCTCTTAGCCAAAAGGCCGAGAAGCGATTAATTTAGGATTTTCTATTCCTTTCTTTTAAAGATAGAAACTTTTTTAAAGATATAAATACTTCCTTTGCAATCCAGATGCCTTTCATTTCATATCTACATGCCCTAGCTATAACCTGCAAAACAGTATTCAATAGAAGCGCCAAGTGTGTATAGCTGTGCCTTTTTTCTGACCTTAGGAACAGAGCATCCATTTTGCCACCATATATGCTGTTAGTCGTCAGTTTTTCTAAATGAATGACTTCAATCAGATTAGATGTTCCCAATTTATTGAGTGTTTTCCTAATCAGAGATACTAAATTCTATCACTTTGTTAAGATTATCAACTGAGGGCTCGGCGTGGTGGCTCAAGTGGTTAAGGTCTTCATCTTGCACGCCCGGGATCCCATATGGGCGCCAGTTCTATCCCGGCAGCCCCGCTTCCCTTCCAGCTCCCTGCCTGTGGCCTGGGAAAGCAGTCAAGGACGGCCCAAGGCTTTGGGACCCTGCACCTGCGTGGGAGACCCGGAAGAGGCTCCTGGCTTCGGATCGGCATAGTATCGACCGTTGCACTCACTTGGGGAGTGAATCATCGGACGGAGGATCTTCCTCTCTGTCTCTCCTCTCTGTATATCCACCTTTCCAATAAAAAAATAATAAAAATAAATCTTTAAAAAAAAGATTATCAACTGATATTTTGTCCTTTAGTCTACAGTATATCTTTTTAATTTTCAGAAATTAAACCAAACTTGAATTTCTAGAATAAACACACTTGACTATAATATATAATTCCTGATGCTGGATCTGGTTCATCAGTATCTTAGTAAAGACTTCTCGGCTTACATCTGTAGAGGTCTGCAGTTTTCTTGTGATTGTCTGCCTGGCTTTGGTATCTGAATATGACCTCACAGAATGAGCTGGTTACTCTTCCTTCTTATTTTAGTAAGAGTCTGAGAATTATCTGTACTAACTCCACTCCTTATACATTTGGTAAAGTTCACTAGTGAAGCCATCTAAGCCCCAGCTTTTCTTTACTATGAATTCAACCTCTTTTCCTTTCAGATGCTCTGTTGTGTCTTTAATTAGCACTCCAACAACAGTTTATGATCCAGCAAGTGCACTGTGGCAAGGTGATACTTCATATTTCAAATACTAAAGATCTTAACTTACCCACCTCAACCACAAATGCTATACTGTTGATGGAAAACTGAGGATACATATCTGTGAAAAACCTCTCCTGATTTCAGAGTTCCAGATTTAAACTTAATTTACAATAGGGTACGTCAAAAAGTTTATGGAGATGGAATTATCTTTATTTTAGTGAACACATTTTTGAAGTCTGTGCAATGTTTCATTAGAGGTATTTTCCATTAACTTTTTGAAGATCCACCATAAACTGAATTTTCTTGCCCCTTCCTTAGATAAATTACTGGTTTGCATTATTTCCCTAGTATTTCCTCATAACAACTGCACAGAGTTAACCTGAGCAAGAGTCACATGTTCTCTGAAAAAAAGAAACTGAAGAAATGTTTGGGGAGTGAATCAGTGGGTGGAGAATCTTCCTCTCTGTCTTTTTTTCTCTCTGTATATTTGCCTTCCCAACAGAACAAATAAATCTTAAAAAAAAAAAATAAATAAAAACTAGTTTGGGGCCGGTGCAGTAGCTTAGTACCTAAATCCTCACCTTGCATCCACCGAGATCCATACTGGTACTGGTTCATGTCCCAGCTGCTCTACTTCCCATCTAGCTCTCTGCCTGTGGTCTGGGAAAGCAGTGGAGGAATATCCAAGACCTTGGGATTCCACGCCAGTGTGGGAGGACCAGAGAAGGCTCCTGGTTCCCAACTTCATATCAGCTCAGTTCCGGGCATTGCAGCCATTTGGGGAATGAACCAGAAGATGCAAGATCTTTTTGTATCTCTATGTAAGTCTGCCTTTCCAATAAAAATAAATAAATCTTTAATACAAATTCTGATTTAGATTTAATAAAAATCTAAAATAAATTTCTGCTCAAGCCATGAAGCCTACATCTCTTATTGAAATGTTTTTTGTTTTTGTTTTTAAGATTTATTTATTTATTTGAAAAGCAAAGGAGACAGAGAGGAGACAGATCTTCCTTACTGGAAGATTGTGGCCCCAAATGGCCACAATGCTGAGACTGGGCTAGGCCAAAGTCAGCAGTCAGGAGCTTCTTCCAGGTTTCCCACTTGGATGCAGAGGCCCAAGGCCTGGGGTCATCCTCGGCTGCTCTTTAAGGCACATTAGCAGGAAGCTGGATTGGAAGTGGAGCAGTTGCGATTTGAACTGGAGCTTCTATGGGATGTTAGCACTGCGACGGCCACTTAAACCTGCCACAACCCCTTCAAGGCATTTCTAACTACCACCATTCCTAAGTAGGACTGCAGATCCAGACATGACTCTCCCTCCTCTCCTTATATCCTTTAGTGCATTCACCCCCTTGGAATCAAGTTCAGGCTCTTCAACAGGAACCCAAGCCTGCAAAGGTTGGCCCTACATGGCACAGCAAGAATGAGGAATGAAACATACAGACAGAACACTTTAGTATTGGTCTAAAGAAACTACTAGCAAACCAAGCAGACTCTGCTGAGTCTCGGCGGCTAGCTCAAGTACCCAGGAGGACAGAGTGCTAACACTGAGGAAAGCAGCAGGAACAATGGCTCCTGGCGTTGTCCAGCCAGGCAAGACTGCTGGCCTTGCTTGTTTCTAGCCTTCTTCTTCTCCAAATCCCCTTTCCATTCCTCGCACTCATCTCTCACTTACCACCCTAATACATGCTTTTCCCTCATCCTACAGACCTCAATGGAGATGTCACTTGTTGTATGAAGCCCTCTCTGGCCAGTGGTGCCATTGCCACGCCATCCCCCTCCATGTTAAATGCCCCTGCTGAGTTCTCCCACAGCACCCCACAATCCCCTACCAACATTTTCAGTTCTTCTGAATGCTTACTGGGTGCTTCTTCTCTTGACTCAGATGCCTGCTACCTTGATGGATGCAGAGGAAAAAAAACGGAGAAGAAACTCAACAGACCCACGACAAAAGGTTATTTTCCTATCTCTGGTCTCACTTTCCTCTCCTTTGTGGGAGAAGTTAACTGTCAAATGAGGGTATTGCATATAAATTTCTTTTTACAAGTTGAAAATTCTTCACAATAAACTTCGTGGGGTGGGGAGGCAATGGACAATGTGACCTCTGTCTCAATTACTAATTCTGCCTTGTTAAAAATTCTTTAGCTACAAGATAACCATTGACACCATGCCACAATCATCTCATCACCTGACAACACTGTAAGATACAGAGTGCAACCTGGTCATCCATCCCGGTGGAAGGTCAAACTAAAGAATCCTGAGGGGTCAGCTAAGAAAAGGCAAGAAGCTCTGCCAAGGAACAAGGTTCCAACCACATGATGGATTTCATCCATTTCCTTTTAGTCATAGCCTTTAATAGGGCAGGAGAACTGCTATCATTCAGGTCTGAGAAGAGGAAGAAGAAAAGGGCCTGGAAAGGGTGAGCAAGGTGCAGAAGAGAACACAGCAGTGACGCAATCAAAGTCAAGGGAGCTGAGTTACATAACCCCAGCTTCCCTGGTGCTGGTCGAGCAGCCAAACTACTAACCAGCCAAGCGTGCTCAATTTCAGTAGCTACCTAACGTGCGCCAAGAGAGAAGATTGTTAGCACTCAGGAAAAAGGTCCTGTTCATGACAGCCGTTCCTAATGAACTGTGCGATCATGAACAGCTGTCGCTAGGAGAAAAAAAATACTGATGGGGACGTTAGCCTTCAGTTCAATGGATGAACACCCCTGCCTGTCCCCTGTTCCCTCCAGCACAGCATTCCTGAGAACAAAAAGTGTGTGACATCAGTGCAGCTGACCTAAGCTCTGACACTTGCCATTACCTCTTGCTGCTTCTCCTCATTGGGGTACGTGTCTACAAATACTCCCAGCCCCACAAATTTGTCCATGTTTCCAAACACAGGCCCTAGAGAGAGAGAACAGATGACGAACAATGAAATAAAGCCAAGAGTTGATAAAGGAATACTATATCACTATGATGGAGGAAAAAGTGAAATTCAAATGACTCCCAGGCTTCTCTTAAGAGGAGAAAACTTACATCAAAGGCCCCAGCACAGTACATGGCCTGCAGCTAGTGCCCAGGCAACACCTGTGGTTGGTTGCTGAAGGCAGGGCAAGAGACAGAAGGCCACAGTAACCTCATCTTAGCACTATGGCAGCTCCCTGATCCAAGCTGGTTGCTAAGGAGCCCCTACAGAATTCTGCTTTACAAACACCAGGCAAGGACTACACCCCCAAGAGAGAACTGAATTCCCAAGCTCTATTTCGTGTTGCATAAGAGATTCAGCTCAAATCAGGCTGAGGCTGCCATCGACTGGAAGCGGTGGCTCCTACACCACAAGGAAAAATGGGTGCTTCTTCTCTTGACTCAGATGTGCTGAGATCATTCCCTGGACAGACCCAGAAGAAACCAGTTCACCAATCATCAGTGCTTGGGACAGCCAGTGCTTTCACGTGGCCAAGAGGCCACATATCACAGGGAAACACGGAAGAAAATTAGCAAGCAAGAAATTGCCCCCTGAAAAGTGTGTCTGTTTAGGAGGACTCAGTCCCAGTGCTCACCCTCAAACACCAAGCAGAAGGAAGACTGCTGTCACTGTCAGGAAGGCCTGTCACACCCTTACCACAGCAACCCACGGTCCCAATACCTGGCTGCATCCGATCCTTCGTGTACCAGATCGCCAGACCATCCCCATGCAGATTCTTCTTTCCTTGCCCATGGATTTTGAAGTGCACCTGCAACTCCCAGTCTCTCAGGAAACACGGCTGCAGGGGAAAAGACATAGAAACTGATAAACAACACAAAATGTAAAATGCTGCGAGCTTGCTGCCAAGAGTTTTCAGATTTGGAAAAAATAAATGCAGGTAACAAAAAGGTAAGGGTTAAAACTGAAATCTAAGACTTGCTAATTATTTATGTCACAAAATTAAATGGGTTGAGATATTTAACTGCTTAAACGATTTAATATGAAAAGAGAATAACCTGATTGTCTTCAGGACCTCCCAACAGAAACAGGATAGCAGTCCCAAGATGCAAAGGACAAGGGAACACCAATTAGACTACTGGATCCTGCATCCAGCCAAGCAGGCAGCTCAGCCATAGCATCCAGACAGCTGAACAATACTCATTTACATCTCTCATCACTCCTCCACCAGAATGACTCTAAAAAAGCTTAGATTCAAAGGTCAAACCTTCATTCATTACAAAAGAATAAGAAATGCAAAATCCTTATGCAAAGGTTTCCAGGAATAATTAGCAGGTGCTACAAACAACTCTAATGAGTTAAACTTGGCTCCTCGCCAAGCTAAAGGGCCAGCCACTGAGTTCCAGTAAGTAGGGCAAGTTACAGTCCCCCAGATGCTCATGGCCATGGCCAGGAAGCCTAAGTACACCAGAAGAAACTACCAGCTCCCCCATAGGGACAGCCTCTGGAGGGAAAAAAGGAGGGTGGTAACCAAAAAAAATGGAGGAGATAGGTAGACCACCGAGTGCTCTGAATAGTTGAGTTTCTCAAAGAAACCAGAGAAGGTACAGTATTTGGTTTAGGGAGGCGACTGTGTAGAAAGAAGGCAGGCAGGAGCAGGTTGACCTGCTGGGTTCAGCCAAAGACTCTTCAAACAGATCCTTTTGGCTTTTGAGCAACACACTGCTATACCATTTTCCAATTTTGCTTTTCTTGCATATTTTCCAAAAGTGTTAATATTTAGGATACATCATCAAGATGAAAAGAGGCTGGCGAGGCAGGGGTTATGTTGCAGTATGTTACACTGCTCCCTGCGTAGCCCAGATCCACACTGAAAAGCCGCTTCAAGCCCCACTCCTTCACTTCCAATCCAGTTCCTTGTCAACACACGTGGGAGCAGCAGGTGATGGCTCAAGTGCTTTGAGTCCTGCCACCCCCTGAGACACCCAGATGGAATTACTGGCACCTGGTGTTAACTTGGCCTGTCTGCTGTTAGCACTTGCGGAGTGAACCAGCAGATGGAAGATCTCCCCTCCTCTTTCCCTTTCTCTCCATTATCTGACCCTTCAAATCATTAATTCTTTTAAAAATGAAAGAGGGTGGGTACCTCTGCAAGCCCTGAAGTTCCATCTTACTTTGATGAGTCCAGTCCTTGTCTTGTCATTCTGAATACTTACTGCTCTGCTATTTCATTTAGATTTCAGGGCAAGAGTAAACAGTGGCAGGAAGTGCCCAGTCTCCAGCAGATGAGCAGTAAAATCCACAGACCAGGACACGGCCACTGAACCAAGAAGTGTCCGCCACTAAGTCTTGGCCCAGGACAGGGTAATGACATAGCTTTATACAGGGCTATTTTTTTAAACTCAGTTTTTGAGTTTCATTTTTATGTGAAATATTTTTTTAGAGATTTGTTTATTTTTTTTAAAGGCAAAATGATAGAAAGGGAAAGACAAGAGGGGAGGAGAACTTCCATCTATTAGACTTCTATTCTAATAGCCACAACAGCCAGGGCCGGACCAGACCAAAGCCAAAAATTCTATCTGGGTCTCTCACAGGTACAATAAGGACTCAACCTTGGACATTTTCTGCTGCTTTCCCAGGTACATTAACAAGGAGCTGGAAGAGAAGTAGAACAGCCTGGATTCAAACCAGAGCTCTGAGATGTGATGCTAACATCACAGGTAGCAGCTTAGCCCACGGTGGCACAACTCTGGCCTCTGCACCAGACCAGTCAATCTGAAACTTTACTGGAGAGTTACCTAGGGAGCTTCTAAAACTCCCAATGACCAAGCCAATCAAACAAGAAGCCACATTTAACTACCGATTTGAAAACAAACGTTCCCATCTGCCAGCTCACTCCTCAAAAGCCCAAAAAGGGATAGAACTCCAACAGGCAGCAATACGAGAACTGCTCAAAGAAATGCATTCTATTCCATGACTTAACAACTTCATGGCTCATTCTGATGGTCAGATAACTTGGAATATAAATGTCAGAAAACGTGACAAGAGGCTGAACTGGATCCTCTAATGACTCCTAATTTATCGAGTTAAGACAACAACAACATGGCAAAGCTCACTTGGCAAGCCCCAAGGGCCCATCAATGAAACTTTCAAGTACAATAACAGACACGTTTCTGTAACTACTTTAACTTGCCTAAGTCTTTTCAGGTCTATTATTTTATTTTCACAACAAAAACCCTGAGGGGGCAAATAAAACAGGAAGTTCATCTGACAGAAGGAAAAACTAAAAACCAAGAAGCTGAATAACCAGCGAGCTCACAGGGACCACAACAGAGCTGGACGGCTAGTCCTGACTGGCCTCTACGCCTTCCACCAGAGTGCAGGCAAAGTTCCACTCTGTCAGAACTAGGGCTCAGCAATACAATCTGGGTTAAGAGGCCAGCATATGCAGATAGCTCCCATGGAAACTTCTCTTTCCTCTCTGCTCCTTTTCTGCCACAGAAAACAAATAGGGAAAAGAAAACAAGTTTTTTCTGAAGCTTAGTTACAACAAATGAGGAAAAATGTTTTTTACATCTGAAAGCCCAAGAATAAGCAGCAAAGGATGCCAAGGCCATCATCTAAAGTAAGGTGGTCATAAAAGATTTAGAAAGACTTCTGGAAACCAAAAAGAAAGGATCATCTTACACTCACACAAAAACACAGTGCAGCCACATCCGAAACGCTGCACTCACTTCTTACTGCCGGTACCTCCAAGAAGACAGATTTAGCTTAAAAAGGTCCAGAGGGGAACAAACGGTTTATAGTGCCTTTCACTTGGAAATGAAACAGAGGTAGACTCTGCAGGGGCCAGTGTGGTTACTTAGCCGGCTAATCCTTCACCTACAAGCACCTGTATACCATATGGGCACCAGTTCATGTCCTAGCTGCGCTACTTCTCATTCAGCTCCCTGCTTACGGCCTGGTAAAGCAGCGGAGGATGGCTCAAGTTCTGGGGTCCCTGCATCCACTTGGCAGGTTCGGAAGAAGCTCTTGGCTCCTGGCTTTGGATCAGCTCACCTCTGGCCACTGCAGCCATTTGAGAAGTAAACCAGTGGATGGAAAATCCTTAATCTCCATCTCTCCTTCTCTCTGTAAATCTCCCTTTCCAATAGAAATATATATTTTTTTTTCCTTTTTGATGATGATGATTACAGTGGTGGGAACGATTAAACGATAGGAAAAGGTGGGTGAAATCATTGTTTCCAAATTCTATTTCTTTCTGTCTCTGGGGGAAGGGGAGAGATAAAGGTGTCCCAGTACCCAGGGATGGGGAACCTCCAACCAGTATCAACCCAGGATTCTGTTGCAGTGCATGTTCTGAAGGTTCTGACCAGGTGGTTTGGATAGTTCTGAAATGTTGTCATTTTCGTCAATCCAAGTATGAGGCAACCCTCCCAATGTCCATCGGCTGACACAGTCAACATCAAGTCTCCAGTCACCCAGATTTTAAAAAAAAAAGACTCATTAAAGTGAAAGTGAAATAAAAGGGAGGGCTACCAAAATGGAGACTGGGAAGAACTTAATAGTCTTCTGCTTCACAAATCAAAGTAATTTAAACAGGGGTTGTTATTAAACTCCACAAGCAGCACTAGCAGGTAAATCAGGAATTAAAGACATTTCAGAAACAGATTTAAGAGGAACTGCTTGTTATAATTAGGGCAACTTGAAGCATCCTAAATTTCTGACTTAAAATGAGGGTCAGCAATAAATCTCAGCGAGATCCTTGGTATTTACAGAAGACTGGCCACATGGGGACTGACAGGAACAGTCTGCTGCTGAAATCTTGAACAACTTTCTAGGTCATCCAGAGAGGAGGAAGAGATTCTTACCACCCGGTTCCACAAGGCCCCTTGTTTACTTTGCATATCTGGGGTAAGGCGGATATACTGGGTCATCACCATGGCATTGCCCATCAGATTCCACAGGGAGGAACTGCTCGTGCCCACACCTGTGGAGAGGAACCAGAAAGACAATCATTTCCATCTGTGTTCCCCACTCACAGCGCTCAACTCTCACCTTTTCTTTAACAGATTTTCTATTCTTACCATTTTTAATGCTGGAACCTGCTACAGCCTATCAGAGTAACCCACTGACACAGCCAGTTTGCCGGAGGGACTAGAGCTCAAATCCAGCCCTCTCCATCTTAAATGTGAGCATACTTTAGCACACTCGGGGAGGAGCGGGGAGGGAGGGACTCTCCTGTGATCCCCAAAAGAACTTGACTCTAAGGTCGGAGGGAGGTCTCCACCATGTTCTTTTTAAAACAATCCTTCAAGCAGAGGCTACCCCTTTCCGTGCCCCTCACACTACCAACACCTCCAGAGTGCAAACCGTGTGTGCCTATGCAAGCCCTGGTAATTAGCAGTGACGCCAAGCTGGAGGAACCCGCTAAGTGAATAAACCCCTTTACTAGTAATCGTGTCCAGAGGTGCTCTTGTGCACTTTGAGGGGTTTTGACTGTCGTCTCCCTATCCACACCTCGGTGAGGAAACAGACTTCTGTTAGTGAAGCCATCTGCCCTGATTGGTCCTCCATTCCCATTGACTGGCATCAACTTTCTGATAGATTAGCTATCATCAGCAGGTCCATGACACCTTCAACAGAGCCCAGCCTCTCACCCCTAGGGTTCCTGAACTGGAGAGGTGCCGGTGTTCTAACGGATAACGGCTTCCCGTCGTCTCACCGCGACTGAATTCCGTCCCTGTTCTTCCAGCTTGCTTTCCACAGCTCCATCCCGAGAAGGGGGGCTCATTTCCAGCTGCCTTCCACTTCTCCTCCCCTCACACTCCCCCAGAGGTAACTCCGACCTCCACCCGGTCCCAACCTGGCGCTACAAGCACCTGCGAGCTCCGCCTCGACCTACTGGAAACTTCCAAGCTCTTGGGGGGCGGGAGGGGCAATGCCCTCTGGACCTGTGGCTTCCCAAGCGCGGCCGAGAGTCCCCGAGCGCCTCCACCAAGTGCCGGCGGTTTCTTCCAGGCTACATCCCCCCTGGACCATAGCCAAGAGGTCCCCAAACCCTCCCCACCTCCCGGGAAGACCACCTCGCCCCGGGTGCCTCACCCTGGTAGGGCTTCGACAGCGAATGCTCCCGCTTCAAATATTCGAACGTCTGACCCGCCCCGACTTGTCGTGGCCCCTGCCCAGACCCCAACAAAAAGAAAAGGAGTAACATCCTGGACCCATCCCGAGCCGACAAACGACATAGCCACCGGTGCCACCAGCCGGAGGCCCGCAAAGTCGCCGCCATCTTTCCCACCGCCGTCCCTTCATCCAAAGCCCGCCCCGTCGCCCTGCCCATTGGCCCGTAGAATCACTTACCCAGAGTCCCATTGGTTCTCATCGAGCTCCCGCCCCGACAGGTGAGCTTCTCACCGATTGGCTGGCTTGTGTATCAGTTGCCGTGCCAACCAAGGAGAGGGGCGTGGCGAATGACCACTCTTCCTTATTTGCATTTGTCCTGAGCTGCTCGGAGCTTGCTGTTCCTCCCTTGTAGAGTAAATTTAAAGAGATAGAGCGTTTCTTCCATTCCCAAGCAAACGTTCCATCTTCTCTATCATAATACCTCCTTGTCTTTCTTTTTTTAAAGATTTATTTTTTTATTTTTATTGGAAAGGCGGATATACAGAGAGGAGAGACAGAGAGGAAGATCTTCCATCCGATGATTCACTCCCCAAGTGAGTGCAACGGCCAATGCTATGCCGATCCGAAGCCAGGAGCCTCTTCCGGGTCTCCCACGCGGGTGCAGGGTCCCAAAACCCTGGGCCGTCCTCGACTGCTTTCCCGGGCCACAGGCAGGGAGCTGGAAGGGAAGCGGGGCTGCTGGGATAGAACCGGCGCCCATATGGGATCCTGGGCGTGCAGGGTGAGGACTTAGCCACTGCGCCATCGGGCCGGGCCCATACCTCCTTGTCTTTGCCGAGCTATCAGTCTGCAGGATTCAGAACTGAAAAGAGGGGCCTGGTGCAATGGCCAAGTGGCTAACTCTCACCTTACAAGTGCCAGTGTATCCCATATGGATGCCAGTTGGTGTCCTGGCTGCTCCGCTTCCCATCCAGCTCCTTTTGTGGCCTGGGAAAGCAATTGAGGACAGCCAAAGGCCTTGGGACCCTGCACCCACGTGGGAGACCTGGAAAAAGCTCCTGGCTTCAGGTTAGCTCAGCTCCAGCTATTGAGGCCATTTGGAGAGTAAATCAGCAGATGAAAGATCTTTCTTGTTGTCTCTTCTTCTCTCCGTAAATCTGATATACCTTTCCAATTAAAAACAAAAGAGAGAGAGAAATAGACAATTGAATAATTACAGTAGCTGGGAAATGATTGAATTTATAAATCCTCAAGCAGTACTAGCAGCCAATTTCATAGGAACTCCACCCAATGACAACGGGAGACAATCTCCTCTTGCAAAGGAAACATTTCCCGTGATAGTCTGGGCCATAAGACAAACCATGATGAGTGCAAAAGTATGGAAGGAGCCCAAATTTCCATCCCTTGCTTTGCTGTTCACACCACAACATGTGTGTTGCTGATCAGTTTCTTACACATGTTCACCAAAGTTCAACCACGGCTGGTGGCAAGTTATAACTGGGTCAATCTTGTTAAGCTTCTGACAACAGTGTGGGGTGTGTAGGGAAGCACTGTTACAACATTGTTGTTATTAACAGGGCTTTGCAGGCTTGCTGTCACCCCTGGGAGGAGGTTCAGGCCCTTCAGCTGGACTCCCAAAGACCTCTGCCATCTAACCCTGATCCACCCTTGGCCTGACTCTCAGAGACTCCCTTCCTCCACCTGTTTAAGGGTGTCCCTGCTTTCTCACGTAGATGCTGCTCTCTGAGTTCTAGAACATTCCTTACAGATGCCAGATCTGTGTTTATGTCTTCCCAAGCGGCTTGATCAGAGTAATCACATTGTTTCTCTCCTGGAAAGAAAATATATGTAGTAAAAGATCTAAATACGAATGGCTTCAGGTTTCATAGGAATCGGCTTTATAAAATTAAAATTGTCACAGCCATTGGTTTCTTACACACTCCACACAAAGCAGATGCATGTGACAAGAAACAAGGCACTGTAATGAATCTATTCGTGTTACAGCCTGTTCTGACAACATTCAGAAGGATCAACATGCGTGGCGGTGTTTACACTGACTGATGGAATACCCACATCCCGTATTGGAGTGCCTGGATGGAGTCCTGACTCTACTTCCCATTCAGCTTGCCGCTGATGCATACATACCCTGAGAGGTAGGAGTAATGGTTCAAGAGGTTGGTCCCTGCCACTGCCATAAGAGACCTGAATGGAGTTACCAGCTCTTGGCTTCCACGTGGCCCAGCCCCAGCTTGACATTTGAGTAGCAAAGCAGTAGACAGTAGCATAGTTTCTCACTCTGTGTTTGGGGGGAAAAAAAAATGGCATAACCCATGACCCCCAATTACTATAAGATACAATCCAAACTTATTAATGTGGCATTTGAGGTCCTTCACAGCCTGACTCAAATCAGGTGTGCACATATCTATTAGCATGTGTGTCACTGAAATTCTGGATCTCAATTAGCAGATTATGTGTTTGTCTCCTTAGCAAGGCTGGGAGCTCCTGGACCGCAGGAAGCAGGTCTTAGTCATTTCCTATCCTAGGTTCCACCCAATTCTCCATCCCTAACCCATAGACTGTAGTAGGGGCTATAATTGTATTGACTAGAATAATTTCCTTTGTATTTCTCTGTCAGTTGGGTTTCTTCATGAAAACAAAATACATATAAATTGTACCACTTTTAAGTACACAATTTAAAGGCATTAAGTGTAAGTGCACACTTGTCCACCTGTCAGCCGGATTTCTGATAGATTATGAGAAGCAGATCTCTCGCAGTGAAATGCTTAATGACAGAAAAAGAATCACCAGGAAGAGTGGATAAGTGAAACATGAGAGACAAACAGACGATGGTGTCAGACTTTAGAATTGTAAGTACAATTCTTTGAATGTGCACCCTGAACTTCACGTGTTGGAAACTAAATCCCTAATGCAAACGTGTTGACAAGCAGGACTCTGTCTTCATGGATGGATTCATGGTGTTGTCCCAGGAGTGGGGTCAATATTGCAAAAGTAGATTGGTTATAAAAGTCAGTTTGGTCCCTCTCTCTCCAGAGCCAAGACCCAAACAACTCTCAGCTCTTGATACATTTCCCAATCTCCAGTACTCTGTCACAGAGGCAGAAAATGGACCAAGATAGGGAGAACACTCCTTGACAACCAAGGAAAAGGAAGCAGTCTGGAGTTTCAGAGGGGAGAAGGTCTTACCTGAGTCACTGAAGAAAGCATGGGTCTTATCTTGGAATAGTCTAGAGCATGGGAGTCCTTTAAGATGAACCATTTCTTAGAACTCAAAATGGGAGAAGAGATTACCCAAAACACAGAGGGCTTTTGGTTTTATCTCTCAACAAGCTTCAAAAGACAACCTGGAGCAGCTTTTGAAATACCCAGATCCACTTGGTTCCATAGGTCTGGCATAAGACCCTGGGATTTGGTTTTGCAAATCTCTCCCTGGAGAACTGAATATTCAGGACTACAAGTTTTAGCCTTCTAGCCATTCATTTCAACCTCCCAGTGACATGATGTGGTAGCAGTTAAGATTAGGACATTTGCTCTCATGTCCTGGAGTATGTTCCAAGCAAACCAGGGACAACACCTGGAGGTAGAGATAAGATTTAGAGATTGCCTTTAGAAGCCTTTCCCATGTTGTAGAGAGGGGAAGCTGGGCGGGGAGAGCAGGATGTAGCTGCAGTTGGGTTCTGGATCTTCGGGATTCCCTTCATGCATATGTGAGAGCTGCCTTCATGCCAAGCTGTTAAGCAGTCTGCCTTGAAGATGATTAGGAAATGTGCTGGGTCTGCATCTGTGGTGTTTTCTGCATTTCCTTGGGGTAATGAATACTGTAATTAACTATAATCCAGTGCAGTTCATGGTGACCCCTCCAGGATGCTGTTGCCATAGCTAAAGACAGTGGAGTCCACAGTCTAGACAAGGAATAGTCAGGGAGAAAAATCTGTCAGCGTTGTGTCCGCGTGGAGATGGAGTAAGAATCCCCTGTTGGGACTCCTCACTTTATTAAGATGAAGCCGAATCCAATATATTCACAGGAGCCTTCTAGCACTCAACAGGCAGTACTGAGGAGTATACCTGAAGACACTAAAGCATAAAGCTTAGCTTTGACTTCATCAGGGTGACTCATCCCCTCCAATCTATGATCCATTTAGTGAACTGATAAAAATCAACAGCCTGAGGACCAAATCTCAGACCATTGGTGGCTCCATTAAGCAACACAACTCCCACAAATTAGGGACTTCCCCTAGTGAGGGATCAGGCACCTGCTTGTCTCAGCATTGCTGAGGAGTGTAGAGGATTCTCTCCAGGAGCAAGGTTGAGAACTCTGACACACACAAGCTAGAACGAAATATCTGCCTTTCAGAGATCCAGTTCTCCTGTACCATCTTGGGGAAATGACTTCATCTCCCCAAGCCATTAATTCCCTGTCTGTAAAGTGGGTGTGATGAAAGCAGCTACATTGTATTGCTGAAAGCAAAAAGTGAAAGACTACGTGAAGGGTGTGTACACACCCCATACACTCAAGCATTTTATCAGTTTCTAGGTTGCTACTGTTGGTAAAGCTTTGTGAAAGCTTTCCTGCTCGGTGTCTGATGTGTGTTCTGGAAAAGTAGATTTGGTCCCTTTGGAATAAAGTAACATGGATCAGAAGGAGAGATCTCGGTGGAGAAGCCACTGACTGATTTGAGGATGTTGATCAAAGATGCGACGTAAGGTGTGAATCCTGTCACAGGCTTATGGTTGGGTATGTGCAGCTGTAGCTTCAAGAAAAAGTTTTGGTGAATATTAGTTGCCTTCTACCCTTGCAAGACTCTCAGGTAGAAAAGCTCTGAACTGGCCAGGACCTGGGTGACTGCAGAAGTGCATGAGCAATGTTGAGCCGTAGCCACCGCAGAAGCTAAGGGAGAGTGCAGAGGAAGCTGGCAAACACCCATTTCTTGTGGCCAGTAAAGCCATCACCTGTGATGTTGGCATCCCAGCTGCTCCACTTCCTATTTAGCTCCTGCTAATGCTTGGGAAAAGCAGCAGCAGAGGATAGCCCATGTATTTAAGCTCCTGCAACCAATGTGAGAGACCCAGATGAAGCTTCTAGTTTTGGCCTGGCTGAACCCAGGCCATTGCAGCCATTTGGAGAATGAACCAACAGATAGAAGATATCTCTATGTCTTTCCCTCTCTTTGTTATTCTGACTTTT